AGCGGAATGTCTAAAACACACACAAATACACATAAAAACAGAAGAACGTAAACACGATTTTAACTCTAGAATTCAAAAAGTAACACAATTCAATACAAAAGCTTATTTTGTGGTTTGATGAGAAATACATTTTATTAGTGATAAAAATAAAAAAAAAGTTAAAAAGAAATATGGAGGCCTGCTTTTGGAATTTTAATTCCTATTTTATAAGCTATGTGAGCCGAATTCCAAGCACTTTATGGTAAAGTCTCTTTCTATAAACTTATAATTCTTTCCTTTCCTTTTTCTTTGCTTACCCAGTCGACTCTCGATTTCCTGTGTTTGTGTGGATAATTTATTATATTCATACGTGTGTCTTTTTTTGTTTGTGCTCCTTGTACTTGCTACTTTTGCTTGTTTGCTAATGGCCTGCCCCGAAAAGTATGCCACATGGCTTTGTCCCCTGGCAGACGTGGCGGCTACTTGATATGCACACCTGGCAACGCGCTCTGGCCCCAAAACGCTAGCTGGCTGGCAACTTTAAAGCCCAACACGCGCTCTGGCAGGTAACTAGCTAAAAAGGAAAAAAAGAAACAATGGCGGGAAAAACAAAGAATGCAAAAAATAAAACTACGCAATGCCAAAAGCACTTTTAATCAGACCGAAATGAAAAATACTTTTCTTTTTGGTTATAGAAGAAAGTGAAAGGAAAAGGTGAAAGTAGCTGGGAAAAATAAAAACAGAAAGCCATTAAAATTGAAAAATAAGAATTAATAGTCTTCTTACGACGAACTATTAAAAATGAAATATTTTTGTTACGAAAAAGTTTAATAATTAATAATATCGAGAGACAACTTGGTTGCAAGCTTAAAAACATTTGCAATAAAAATATAACTTGATGAATAAAATTCAAGCTAATTATTTTAAAATAATAATTTCATCCTCTAGTTGTTATTAACCATACCTCTCTTGCACTTGAGGGTAGCGAGTCCTACAATATATCACAATGTCAGCGCACTTAACATAGTTTATCCTTGTGTCCCTGTCGTTGTTAGTGTCTCTGCGGCTCTCACTGTCTCTTTCTGTTGTCCTGTCCCGCTCTAGCTCTGCCATTATGCACACGTCGCACATAACCATAACGATTATGTTAATGCTCTCTGCAAGGCGTTGCAGGGTTTGGGTGCAGAGTGGCAGTAGAAGTGGGTGGAAATCCTACGAGTTGTTCTTACCTGCTGGTTACCTGCTCATCACTCGCCTTGGCTTATTTCTACGTTATTTACATGCCCTAAGTAGTTGTAATGGCTCCTCCACAGTCGCGACAAAGTGTTGGCAATAAAGGAGATCTCGTCCTTGCTTTTCATCCATGGAGTGGCTATAGAAACCATGAATGGGCTCCAGCTAGTTTTTCTATTTTCGGCATTGGGGCGTCGTCGTAGTTCAGGATAATGAGCGGCGAAAGTGAATTATACAGCCAGCTAGAAAAGGATTTTCTTTTATCCACGTGCGTGCTTTTGGGCCAAAAATTCCTCAATTTGGCCGACACGGCTCTGAGCCATTTCCATCCGATGGAATGTCATAAAGAGGGCATTACGAGTCAGGGATCCGAAAAAACTCAATTGCGCATGCAATGGCCGATGGCTAGGCGTAAAACTTTCAATTTGCGTTAATGGCATTAAATAAAGTCACTCACGCACCCACACGGCCAACTTGGCACATTACGACACTATATATATATATATATGTATTTTAAAAAAGGGGAAACCTCTGGAAAAAAAACAGCAATGGAAGCGGAAACTGAAACCTGAAACTCAACCCAGCGTACAGCTTTCATTGGCTGGCCACTTAAAAAAGGTTGTGTAAGTGCTGGTTGTGATGTTTTCCTTTTACGTTTTTAAATCGCATTAAAAATCATTGGTCCGCCATTTGCAAGGTGGCCAAAAACACAACCCAAGCCGAGCTCAACGTGAAAAAATAAACCGAAAAGAAGTAAATAAAAATCGTAGCAGATCGAGAAAAAAAAAAACAGCACGACTGCTAGTTACGACAACAAAAGTTTCGTTTTCGGCTTAAAGCAGGTGAAACAGAGCCCAAAGGGACCAAAAAAAAAAAAATACACAAAAACATAAACAAAAACAAGAAGAAATTTTCAGCAATCGGGCTGGAAAATAACATGAAATGTCAGTGGAGTTGGGCGGTATATGTTGTACTTTAGATAAACTTGCCGCTGTTCGATGTTTGTGCTTGATGTTTTTTTAGACTTTGTTACAAACATTCGACATGCAATGCACGTAATGCCACAAAAACACACAAAAACTCACACCCACACACTGGTAGAAAAACAAGCTCTTACGCACACCGGCAAACACCTGGAAAAAGTTTTCCTTGTGAGACTTTTATCCCACTTTGCTTGTTGTGATATTTTGCCTTCCTCTGCTTATGCTCTTGCCCTGGCTGGGAGTGCGATAAGTTTTTCTGAAAAGTTGCCAGAGTCCGGCAGGAAAAATATACATTTTTTCTAATCAGTATTTAAGTTGTGAAGTCCCTGGGAAGAGAGAGAAACGACCTACATATACATTTAAAATCAAAATAAGAAAAGTAGAGTATTTCTAAGTTTGGGTTTTAAAAATGCTTAGTTTCCATTACTCCTATACGGCTTTCACTCAACCTGATTTCTTGGTTGCCATTGTTATGTTTTTAAAAAGGAAAAGTTTAAGAAAAGAGAAAGCGACTCAACCATTTGCCAGGACAAGCCTCAGATATGCCGCCACCCATCACGCATCCGCCCTGTGGACCAGAACTCTTAGTGTGCATATATGTAGCTCACTTTTCGGGGCAAGGCCGAACGCGCTGAACATGATTTGTATTTTACTTACATACCGTTGTGTAAATCACATGCACAAACAACACCAACATCCATAGACACTTGAGGACCCAGAAAACTTGGGCATTTATAAAACAACAACAAAACAACAAAACAACAAACGGCAAACGGCAGGAACAACAAATTCGAATCTTTCCAAGAGAACTCCATTCGATGTCTGCCCTCGACTCACTGCAGTAATAATAATAAAGGGAATTGTTATTGTTTTCTATTAATTTACTTTTGTTGTTTGCCGTTATTGTTGTTGCTGGTGTTCAGCTGGAGCCTCCTACACTTGTGGCAGTGTGGTACTGTGGCAGTGGCAATGTCAGTGGCAGTGGCAACTACTATACAGCCACGTGTGTGGCCATGGTTGTTACATTTTTGTACTGTTGTCTGCATTTGATTTGATTTGTTTGGTCTTGATTTTATCTGTTGAAAAATTGTTCAACCACGAGATCTGTGGCAGGGTCCTTTGTGCCTCAAATTGTCTGTCGGGTCTGTCAGGTCTGCCGGGGCACCGAAGTGAGTAAATTGATATAAATAGATTTGGAATTTGTATCTACAATGTTTGCAGTTGAAGTTTAAAGGCAAGTGGTAGGGGATTTCATTTATAGTGATGTTATGCAGATTTCCTTCTATTAAATTATTGTAAGAATTTATTCTCCTACAAAGCAACAAAATAAAAAAATAGAATTCATGAATTCCAAGGCAAATATCAAAAGCATTATTATAGAGAGAAGGGTTTTACGACCGAAATAAATTCCATGGCCAGGCTGCAGCTGCAGATGGTAGGAGTCCGGGCCTCTTTCAATAATAATAAAAGCAAAATACTTCAGAGCCAGAGCCGAGAAGAGCCTGCAGAGAAATGGCGAAATATTTCTCATTAAATGCCCGCGCTTACGTAAATATTTAAACTAAGGCGGCATGGAAGGCATGGGTGGCATGGGAGGCATTTCTCTTGCTGCGTTAAGGACTTGCTGCTAGAAATGCAGAATAAAAGCCTTGTGCCAGCTGGCCGTGTTGTATTTGCCCAGAACGAAGAAGAACTCTTCGGAGGATTAGCGTCTTTGGATATTCAGAACTGCTCCCACCGCTCCACCACTCCATCCCGGCGCCATCACCCGAACATTCATTGATCCTTGGGCGACACACTGACTAAGTGAGTGATGAATAAGACTCTTTCTCTGCGAATAGTTGTGAGTGTGTGCTTGTGAATGGCAGGATGTAGGCCAAGCCAGCTGTCCTTGTGCCAGAAAAACGCTTTTCAATAGAAAACTCAAACTGGCAACATGTTACAGATTGCTTGCTAAGACTCCAGCTTTAGCACACTCTTCTGCCAAAAAAAAAAAAAAAATAAAACCTGCATTGCGTGAAAGGTTGAAATGAGCTTGTGATGTGGAAAGAAGTCGACTAGGTAATGCACAGCTTTTTCTAATAACAAGGCCAATACGATTCCTATTAAATTCAGGTCCTTTAATACCCGTCTTGAAATGCGAATTTGATTACAGAATGTTCGCCACTGAAATATTTCCATTTCCATTGCAATCATTCGGTACAGACGGCTGTCAATCGGCATCCGTTGTTAACCGAGTTTGTTTCCATTTGTTGCACGCACTTTCAACGCCTTTTCGTTGCATGCGCCGGCCTTGTTGGTGGTGGTGTTGCCAAAGTTGGTTTGAGAAACAGGCAGAACAGCAACGAGCAGAACTGATATAAGCCAAGTGTCTATCTCGCATCTTGTTGCTGTCATTTCAGGCTAATGTCTTCGCTCCATTTTCCCTTTTCGTGTTCAATGTCTATCGTCATTCCCATTTTGTTTTCCACTCGTCCTTGTACAGTGTTTGGTCCTTTTTTTCCCAGACAGACATTGCACTGAGTCCTGTTGTTTTCGCTTCGTTTTTGCTGACACAGTTGGTAGTTCTACTTCTGTTTTTTTTTTGTTCGCCTCAGCCGTCCTTGATACACATCATTCAAGCCTGCTTAACGTGTCCCATCATATTAACTTGACTAAGAAGCCAGCGAATGTTTTTCTGCCGTTTCCCTTGATTCTGACAGAAAAAAAGTTGGAAAAAAGCCTGTCAGCGTGGCTGGATTGGGAGAGACGTTTCTTTGAATTAATTATTGTATTAAAATGAACTTTCTTGTTTTCTACTTGCAGATAAGCAAACTATGGAAAAAGCTCTTGAAAGGTATGTAAATGAGTGCCACTTTTAACAAATTCGGAGAATTCCAAATTAAGTCAAAATTCCTGCACATGTCCTTTAAGTATGGTCGGGTAATCCTAGTTGAAGTACTCCTTTGAAACATGACCATGAGCAGATGACACAAAATTATCGGGCTTTCAACGAATTTTACAAAGTGTGTAAATAATAAACATAAATAGAATAAAGGTTCAGCCCCAGAGAACGCCTTGCCATCAGCCCGGCAAACTTAATTAGAAAATCCATGTACTCGTACCATGTGTGCTCCAGAGGGTGTCTGGCAGATTTTCAGATTTTCCGATTTCCAGCTTACGAAAGTGAGCAGCAAATTTTCCGGGAATTGGCCAAGTACCTCGCAGCAGGCCAAAACACCTGGCTCCCCCGAAAATCTGCTCCTGCCAAAGTTAAGCAGCTTATGGCCAAAAACTGATCAATAATAAACGAATTTAGTTCCAAGCTCTCCGACTCATTATGGATGCTGACTGGCAGTGTGGAAAGGATGCGGGGAGATTTATAATCCACAAGGCAAACTGCAATTAAAACGACTTAATTGTTTATTAATGCGCACTTCCCAGTAGCGGCGTGAAAAAATAAATTAATTAGTTGCTATTTTAAATATGGCGCAGACAATTTAAAATGCCACGCCAGTAAAAATAAACTGCTCGACCGGGAACTTCTTTGATTTATGTTGCCTGCACTTGTTCGAGATTGGGATTGGGGTCTGGATCAGGAATGGAAATGAACATGGAAATGGGGGAACTGCATCGGGTTGGCGGCCAATTTAATTGCTGGCTGGATTTTCACACTAAGTCCATGTTTCCTGCAAACGCAGCACAGAAATAGCCCTCTTGAGTGGAAGAACATCACGAACACCACGCACCCCAGTAATGTTTGTTGGGGGATAGCTAGTTGGGTTGGGGGAGCTGGCATGTCGTGTGATGATTAATGAGACAATTTTTATGACATCGCACAGTGGGTGAACGTCTACGCCAACACAAATATCAGAAATGTCAAGACATTAAGTAGGAAATGGGAAAGTATTAAATTGATTGCTGGTGGGAGCATAAAAATAGAACAATCTAGACACTTATAAAGCTATAATAAAATGCTTTAAGACTAAGAATTTAAAGTTAAACCCAAAATAACTAAAGTTTTTATTTGATAAAATTTAGGACTTCTTCTTAAGAGTCAAAAAAGTCATAGACACTATCCATTTACTTCCCAAAAAACCCATTCCCCAACCACTGTGCAGCAAAGGGGCATGAAGTCTTGTCGCTTGGCACATGAATAACATGAATTGCGTTATGAAAAATGTACAACAGAAGTTCTGGAAGGCGGATGGATGGATGAACGGATGGATGGGTTGGCTTTGGAAGGGTCTTACAGGTCTGGGCCCTGGGGTCTGGGGTCTGGTGGCATCATTACAGAGCTGAGCGATAAGCGACGTTGCATGTGGCAACATAACTGACGATTGCAGTATGATGGATATATAGTATATATATTTAGTGGCTTGTGGTGCGAGGGTGCAAACGACAGACAGACACGAATGCGAATTGATGTGTCACGTGGGTGCAATGCCGTTGACTTTGAGGGATTTATATGGCTGGAGAGTGTGCTGACAGCTGGCAAAAATTAGCTGCCAGGCTGCCAGTCTGCCATTCTGCCAGTTAGCCCAAAAGTCAAAGCTCAAGCTCAGGGCCAAAAACTCTGATTTACGAATGCTAGAGCATGCACTGCAAAATAGAAAATTCCATGCGGCATAATTAGCCAAAGCACAAAAGTTTCCAGCTTGCCATTATTATTGCTCTGGCTTGTAGAAGCCAGATCCCGGGATGGCTAAAAGCAGGCTGCATGCATAAGCGCCAACTCGAAATTTGAGCACAAAATCCCCAAAATGTCAGTGGCCAACATCAGACAGCGGAAGGCTGTCAAGGGACAAGACGTCGGACTGAAGGATAGGGGGACTAGATGGCCTGGGAGGACGGGAGGACAGGAGCAGATGCTGTCTGCCAGTTTTCCAGCTTGCCATTCCTGCCAGTTTGCTATTCAGCAACATGGCAACAGAGCACTCAGCCAAACTGCATCATCTCTCAGTGTTCTCATTATTCAAATGTATTTTTCGTTTTAGAAAGTCATTCGCTTGGATCAGGTCTTTGCTTTAAGACTGGTTTTCCAATCTTTATATTTAAATTTATTTCATCAAAATTAACCGAATGTTAACTTTTGTTAATATAATTCGATTTCATCCTGATCTTCAGAGGGACAAATGTCCTTCTTATAATTCACGCAGGCTGTAGTGTGACGGTAGCCTCCAACACGACCCGATCGTTGGCAACATTTTGGATAAACATTGCATCGAGGCCATGGCGGACATAAGTCCGCCCACTTGTAGGTAAACTTGGAACGTGGGTCCGGCGGCTAAAGAAAGGTCAGTTAGTGAAGAAACAATACAGAAATTCAGAATAATATTACCAGGGTTGGCTTTTCTGTGAACTGCAATAAAAGGATCAATTAGTGAACATGTTCGCCGAGCCGATTAAAATAATTATTACCTCTGGCGCCCAATCAGGCGCCGCTCCCCATCCCGGTAAATTACCTTCTGGTCCCCATTGCCGATTTTGTATCACAACTTTGACATCTTGTTTTTTTTTGTCTGAAAAAGATAGATCGGCTTGGTAGACCAAAACTGCGGCTAAAATATAAATGCCGCGTAATCGGCACATTTTAGCCAGAGTTTCAACTTGGATTGAAATAATTGTAAAAAAAATAGACCACATTTTAGTAAAACCATTTTAATTATACATGGTAATTAGGATTAAGAGAAAGAATGTTAAGGCCAAGTCAGTGTCTTGATGGCTGAGCAATATCTTTGCGGGGATTAATTCAAGCCCATTTCGAAGCACTCTGGTGGGTTATCTGCTCACTTGTCATGCATCCTCCGGGCCATTGCCGAAAGTCTAAGGGCCAGGCAGCCCCTTCCAGTTGCCTGTTCTATTGCCGTAACAAATCCATTTTACCTGTCAGCTTTAACGCGTAAGCAAATGGCAAAACGGCAGCAGCTGGCTAAGAAAGAGGGCAAAAAAATGGCTAAATCCGCAGTGGAAAGCTATCTGCACACGTGAGTGTGTGCGCCCAGGTGGGTGCAGGTGAGTGGGCGGTGTGTCAGAGTGACTGGTCTGGGCTGTGGATGGTGGTGTGCTGTGGTGTGGTGGGTGCTGTGCTCTGATATATTGCCAAGGCGCAATTAGAGCGCAGACCGCAGAATGAAACGAAGCTCTGGCTGCCATGCAAACAAGCCACAATTGCGCTGGTAACCAAGAAGAGAATTTATATAATTAAGTAGAGAACTTTAATACCCTTATTTTACAAAAAAGAAATTATAGGTATTTTTTAACAAAAATATCAGAAAAATAAAAGTAAGCCTGATGACCATATTTCTATAGAAGGTTTAAAAGAGGTTTTTATTTCTAGCATATTTAACTAGTATTTTTAACTTTTCTCTTATCGTTTTAAAAAATTTACTTTTTGTTGAAAAGTTCCTCTTACCCTCCTAGAAGGTAGGATAACGAAAATAAATTTTTTGCGCAAACAAAATCAAGAACATCACACAACCGGCACACTCGTTTAGACAATCAGACTTTTGTGCTCCTTTCTCCCGTGTGTGTATGTGTGCCAGTGTTTACTGTACAGGATACACCCACAATCGCACACCAGGAGCCACACTCACACAATTGAAAATAACGAAAACGAATAACGAATAGGACACAAATGGAATTGCGTTAAATCAAATCAAACGAAACGAATTGAAATGAGAATGAAATATTCCGCTGCTGGAGAATTCCCCATCAAAAAACAGTGCAAATCTCAGATGACAGTCGAGCATATTGCCGGCTAATTAAACGCATGTGCATTCCGGGCGTATCCCAAAAGGGGGCGTGCCGCTCACGCATAGTATAAGCGCTAATTAGTCTCCGGACGGTGTGACAATGCACTGGAGGCGCAGATCAAACGGCTGGCTTTGGTTCCGCCGCCTGTGGAAAATCAAGTAATTTTACGGCCTGTCCACGGGGGCTTACTTTGTGTGTTTTTTTTTGTTTCGCAGAGGCCCTTGTGAGTCCCTTGGCCATGTATTTTTGTTGGCCTTCTTTTTTCTTATGTTTACCCCTCTGCATTCAGGTCGAGCGAAATTAAACGAAAACATCGCAGTTGTGAAAGATCAAAGCCAGCGCGACAAGTCACTGGGGACACCAGAAAGTTGCAATTTAAATTAGTGCCACGGCTACATAAGGGAATTCACAGAAAGCATCACAGTATGTGATAAAAATTGTAAAAGGGAATCCCTTAGAACCCATTTTAAGGTTAAGTGTTATGTAATAATCTTGGTATCTCGAGAAATAGGTCACCGTAATGAACCCCCCGTTTAAGCGTAAATTTATTCAAAATCCGCAATCATCGTTGGAAAATGAACAATTGCAGAGAATAATGAGGCAAAATCGCATTAGATGCGGCAGCATCTGCCAAAGTCTCTAATTGTCAATGGCTAAATAATTGAGAGCCGAGAGCCAAGGAAGCAGAAAGGCGGCAAAATGAACAGAACCTAATGGCATTAAGGGAAAAATCCAAATGAAAATCACTTTAAATGCTAAACAGCTGGCTGCTCGGCTCCACTCGGACTGAGGCTGATGCTGAGGCGAAATAAAAACACATAAAGCGCCTTCGGGACTTTAAGCATCCATTAAAAATTTAATAACTTTGGTCCGGGCCAAATGCAATTTTGTGAAATTTTCTAGCAAAATTAATTAGTCAAACAATCCATCAGTCGGGCCTGGACCTTAACGTGGCCAAAGCCAGGCCAAATTATGCTGCCTGTCCTTTCCATCCACTCTGCCGACAGAAAAAAAAGGTAGAAAATCCCCCATATTCCAAGAAGGGAATAACTTGAACGTGACCATCCTGGGTTAGTTTGGGGCATTTTTATTTTGGGGGGCAAGGCTGGGTGAAGGATTTTCCATTGAAACAGTGCCGGCTCACGTGCGTCGCTTAAGCCGGAAAAATATTGACCCGGCCAAGAGGCTGTGGATTTGTGGGTTTAGGGGACAGACACTTCAAAGGCTGCCGCAAATTTAATTTTAATCAAAAACTGTTCAGCCCCAAACGGAAATCCCAATACATTGTTCGCCAGGGCATGGAATTCGGTCTGCTAATCCTTCTTAAATTCCAGGAAGCATTCGAGGTAAATGAGAAAATGTATTTAAGAATTTAATTTCCATATGTTTATGGCTCAGTAAGGCACAAAAAGAATTTGTAAATAAAATTCAAAGAAGACCCAAAGGCAGCCTGTAATACGTTTTTGGGAAATTTACCTTCAGGACATCAGATTCGGTGGCATTGCGTGCTCAACGATTTTCCTGTTTAATCGACTTTCTTGCAACACAATCACGACCCGAAACAATGTCAATGTTGGACAGATGGAAGCAGGATGGCAACCAAGGAAGGACACTCCAATAAGGACAGTTACCAACCAACCAAGCATCCAAGCATCCAACCATCCAGTCACAGACAGTTGACAATTAATTTTTAATGCAAGTCTCACGGCAGATCAGCAGAAGAGGAGACCAGGGTCCTGAGAACAGAGAACCGAGTCCGGACGGACACAAACAAAAACGGCATCGTTGAGGGCAAGTGGCACTGCTAATTGCACTCATTCACACGGCGAGCGACACAAAAGCGGTCTGAAGAGGCATCCCCAGCAACAAGCAACATAGTGGCAGGCAGTGGCAACAACATAGCTGGCAAGTCGAGGAACAAGAGACGTCTCCTTGACGCACGGAAACGGAAGCGTTAGTGCAAGGATATGTTGCAATAGTGCACAATGGCCCATTCAACAATGGGATAAATCAAGGGTTTTTTCGGTAAAAAATAGAGGGTTTTCTTTTCCAACTATTAGGTATAATTCTTTGAAAAATTTTCTGGTCTTAAGCCAATTTTATTCCACTGTACCTGCTGCGCGTGTGTACACTGTAATTACGGGCCATTGAGGCCATTGTTAGGAGGACATTGCAGATAGCAAATAGTCGCATTCCGAGCAAGGAGTCCGAGCATTTAGGTTCACCAACCCACGACAGCCACCGACTGCCATTGCCTATTTCCGGCGTAATTGTTATGCCAATTTTTAAGGCCCTGGCAGTGTGTGAAATTAAATGAAAATCAAATAAAGTCAAGGGTCCCGAAAAGAACACATAAATGCTCTTAAATTTGCAGCGTTAAATGTTAACAGTCGATTTTCCAATGCACACACCCATAGCCGGAGCAGACACATAAAAATATCAACGCGTATTTGCGTGCTCCCCTTCTTATCTACGGGAATAAACCCAGAAGAGATCCCCCTCGGAAGGGCCCGCCCATGGCCATCCCCTTTGAACTCGGCAGCCCTTCGCACAGCGACTGGCATTCCTCGTCATCATCATTCCGGCTTAGACTTTGCGGGAGTGCAAATTGACAATTTCTGTGAAATTGCACAAATACGAGCCTGTGCTCCAATTTTTTATGGCAAATTACCCAGCCGCATGTGTGCCCGGGACAGAGGGGCGTAGATGGAGCGGCGGGCGTGGCTTTTGAAGGATCTGTCGCCGAGGCAGGGAAAATGTCATAAAACCGTTCGGTAGACGCTGCGCTATGACAGGGCTTTTTTATGATTGGTTTTAGGCGGGTTCTCCTGCATCCCACCCGAAAAAAGGGAAAAATAAAAGGGAAAAAATAAATAAAATATAAACTGCGTTATGTTTATGCGACAAAAAAAAAGGAGAGGCAGGAAAAGCTATCAGGACATCATCAGCCCGCGTATAATTAAGCATTACGCAAATGGCAATAAAAGCCAAAGACAACAAAATGGCAAGGATATATGCAGAATTGATGGCTTCAAAAAATGAGATAAATGTATTCATATGGTTCGTATATATAAGAAATGGGTTAAATCCTTAGAAACCAAAAATTATTTATAAAAAAAAGAGGATGGATAAACAAATCCAAAATAATTGAGTTTCAACCGCAACTTGGAAACTTTTTTGGGGGGCCATTTTAGGACGTTTAAAGGGGGAAAAAAATGTGAAAAACAAAAAATTTAATCAATTCTATGCAAAAATGTTTCCCTGTGGCAGCTGTTGTGTTGTTTTCCAGAAAACTTCGGGCTTGTATCAAAAAGCAATTAATCTGCATATCAGAGTAAATGGTAACCAACCCGAAAGGCAGCCAAACCATATTAGGTACTGCCTTGTAAGCCATTGTTCCATCATTTATTTAAAAATTGAAAATTGTCCCCAGACGAATTCATTTTCGATGGCAAACTGTTTTGTAATATTTGCAAAAACTTTGAAAGCAATTAAAAAGTTTTGCAGTGCTATGATTTCCATGCCCCAAACCCACATTTCCCTGCTACTGATTTTTGTATACCTTGAATGAACTTTTCCGGGGCAGCAGCTGTTGCTTTCCGTTGGCCAAGAAAACGGCAACATTAGGTCCCAACATATACTCATAGTATAAACATAATGATAAGCATAATATGCCGCTGAGTGCCTGGAAGTGTGCTTAATTCCCTGCAACTTTAGTGCCTTTAAGTTGCAGGCGTGGCGCCCGAAAAGGGAAACAAATCTCCCCCCAAAGTGTGCGCTCTGGACACTTTTGGACCGAAACTTGAGAAACTTTTTTCCCTCCCAGCACCAGGCATCACCAGGCATCATAGCCATGGCCCTGTAATCTTTTCTCTAAGTGCACATGCTACAAACAACTTAAGCTTCTAGGCAAATGTACATCGAAATGCCAACTGTTTGCCGGCAGGACGAAAGTGCTCTAAGGAATGCGGATGCGTGGAGGCGTTTATTTGCGTTTATAATGTGTGAGCTATTAAAATTTTAGGGGCTGTTAGTGTTGGTGCTTTTGAATTAAAAATGTTTTTCCACAAGCATAAAATGAAAATTAGTTGATTTTTTATACGGCGGCGCCCCTGTCGGGCTCTTAAAGCTTTTAGGACAGCGCCAGATGCTGCCGCATTTTCGCATAAAAAAAATGTAAAAAAGTATGTATATAGAAGAGCAAAACAAAAACAAAATCTTTTGAGTGAAAATTCGCGCAACGCTTGTTTGGATTGCATTCATATTCATATTTTTGTATTTGTGTTTGTGTTGGCAAGCATAAAGTGGAAATTAACATAAGCCCAGAGCCCGTCAACGGGACGTATACTTGATGCCATACCGAACTTCTAATGCCCTTGAAGTTAGTTGTTCCCCACACATTCCTAAAATCTTCCTATATTCCTATAGCTTGTTTCAAATATTTTTAGCCAACATTCACTTGTTTACCTCGGTGACTCAGTAAATCTTTATAAATACTTTTCATTTAAACCCGCAAAGCTTAACGAACCCAAAACCCCATCCACTTTTATTTACTTTTGTACACACATATTTTTTTATTGTAAGCTATGGCATTTTTTGCACCTCTCTCTCGGATTCAGCTGCAGCTTATTTTTGATGCATATTTTATTTTGCCATTGCATGCGTAATTTTATTTTCAGCCACGCCCATGCCTCATGCCCATGCCACTCTCCCGATGGTGTTGTTGCTGCGGCTAGTTGTGGCCTCGTAATTCGTAGCACAGGTATAAGTTTTATGACCATTGCCACGATTTTTGTAGCTCTTGTAACTAGTGATGACAGCTTGGCTACTTTATGAGTTTTTTTCTTTATTCAAAACTAGGTTTTTAAAGGAGTTTTACGGCTCTGTTTATTTGTGTAATAAAAATGAATCAAAGAAAACAAGCTGATCAAAAGAAATAAATGCTAGATGACTTCCAAGACAACATACTTGAATTTAAAATACCCAGAATAGATTTCTATATAATTTTAAATAAGTTTTATTATTTTAGTTCCCTACTAAGTACATCCCTTTTAGCCATATTTTATCCTTCCAAAATTGGCACCACTAGTTGTGGCTGCTGCTGTTTTTTCTTTACTGGCAGGTAGTAAAAATTTATGCATTTTACAACAAAATGCTGCTTGTTGTCGCCACTGTGGCTGCACCTGAGCGGATTGTTGTCGTCGTCCTGCTGCCAGGATATGCACGGCAATGTGCCAAATTAAGTGCTCTGCCTGCCAAAAAGGAGCAACGCAAAGGAGCAGCAACAGAAAAAAAACAAGCAAACACAAAAAAACTTTGCGTAAAAAACGGGTATCCATGGGGACGAGATCCTGCGCCAGGACGTCGCTTAAGTTGTGATGTAAATTTTAATTTCCCCATGTTATGACATGTTCGCAGCGCACCTTTGAAGTTGCCCACGCTGGAAATAACTAATTCAAAGGACGGAAAGGACGACCCTTAAAGCCCACGATTAATTCAGAGAAAAGAGCGAGTTTGCCAAAGTAGTGCGGTAAAATCGGGGTAATGCAATTTGTTGGCCTTCGCAACTCGGTGGCTGTGGTCGGGCTAGCTGGCTTTGCCAAGGGCAACTGGCAAAGCCTGCCAAATTGGCATTTTAACGCAGCTGTTGATAAGTTCTTAATTAAGTTTAAGCTTATTAGGTGGCACTTTAGTCTGGCCGAAGCCATAAAACTGTGCGGTCACAGGAACAGCACTAAAGCGTTTAGATTGAATGGCTGAAATAAATCACAAAATAAAATTTAAAGCCTGGCTGGCAATAAAATATTTGGGAATGGAAAACCAATTCCATTAATTATCCAATATGTGTAAACAGGGACAAGCGGCCTTGCTTCTTCACCCGAAAATAATCCTTACTGTCGCAGGATCCGCATCAATATTTCAAAGGGATTTCACAGCTTTCCAAGTGCACAATCAATTGCTTATGAAATTTTCATCTGCTTGTGAGTGAAAGGTCAATTTGGTGTAAATGCCTATTGATTTTCATTTTTTTTCCAAGGATTTTTTTTTGCTAAGGAGCCAGGGAAATGAAATTGAAATTATTTCCAACGACAGCAGTTTAGAAGACGTGTCACTGTCTGGTCAATGTGAGAACATGGGACATGTGAAAAATAAAATAAAATAAATATTTATCTATCCCAGAATGATTCCATTGCGAGGTGGAAGGACCGGCAAGACTGAGAGGACTGAGAGGCCTGGCAGGCTGGAGGAGTTGAGTAAATCCCTTAAATTGCCCAAGGCTTCGTCCTTCGTTCGCTCGTGTCATCTTATTAAATCACACAAAATAGGAAAAGTTCTCGACAACTTTCCGGTGGGATAGAGAATGAAATGCGAGTGTTACACATATTTGGGGGCTGACGAGGTTCAACTGCCTCGACTCGACTTCGGTCTCGACTGTCAAATCATTCTGTGATAAGGATATAACAAATGTGCACAGGCCAGGACCAGGACAAGGATTTTCTATCTGGTCGTGTCTCTCTGTCTGCTTCATAACTGACAAATGAAAATGTCAAAAAATGTTTGTTGACAAGCTAACCAAATGAGAAAGAAAATTTACCATTTTTCTCTGGATAGGACACAACTTTTGCAGCAGCAAGGTCTAGCATTTTGCAAAATTTAATTAAAATTGTGTTTTATGTGCGAAAATGAAAGGAAACAACTGGGAAACTGTTCAATTAGGCTGCCAACCAATGAAAATATTTATGGAAAATACTGATAATTATATTCACATCGTATCTATTTATTAGGGAGCCTAAAACAAACAAGATTGTTGGTAAAATTTGTTACATATTTCCGAAACTAATATCCCTTGTATTTGTCTAATTAACAAACCTCATTATGAGTAAGTCAGTGACTTAAGTACTTTCACCTGTCTGGTGTATTATTACAATCTCGGCTACCATTACATGGCTAAGCACCAAACATTTGAGTGAATGCCGAAAGCAGCTGCGGCATAGAAAAGATCCTGGCCATGATTAATGTTCGGTTATTAATAATGTCCGTCCGGAGAGGACTTCAGGTGCCTGCCTGCCTGCCAAATCAAGTCAATTTGCCTTTTTGGCCGTAACATCCGAGTATCCATTACGCATTTGCATTGGCGCCAGACGGTTTTTTCTGAAATTCTACTCTGTCTGTGCAATTTGAGGGCAGTTGGCAGTTGGGTGGCGAAATTTCAGTTAATGAAGCGCGTCAGTTGCTGGAATCTGGAATCTCATCCTGCGGGTGCTGCCTTTGTTTTGGGGAGCTCATCTTGGGTTACCAAGAAACCGAAAACAAAATGGAGGAGCAAGAAAATCCAAGGCTTTGTTTTATGGTATTTTCCATGTAAACGCAATTTTCTGGTACGGACAATAAACCTGCATTTAAGTTAATTTTCCTGTAATTTATTTGATATTTAACTAAGGCAGCCGCCGTGCAATATGTTGCATGATTTATGCCCGACATTTTCAATTGTTTATTGCTCTCGTTTCCTGGCCTACTTTGGCCTGTCTTTTGTTTTTCACTTAGATTAATTTTGACAAATACAAATGTCAACCTGGCCCAGGGATATGAATTTAATGAACCCCCCGTCCACCCAAAACCAAAAATATGAATAATATACGAACGATGAGGCTCCTTAATGGAGCCAACAAATTATTGGGATTATATTAACACAGCGACCAATCCGTTTCCATCCAATTAAAGTCGGACAATGGCAATACAGTTTATACTTTCACCCGATGCGATTTCCATTTCATCCCAGCTGGGAAAAATATATTTGCATAACTGCGATACGGACTCGATGTAAAAGTTCAATAATTAGCTTCTTATTGGTTGCAATTCGAGCAGGCAGCTGCAATCGATGCGATTCGATCCGATCCAATCCGATTCATTATGCAAGAAAACAAACACTTGAATAATTGAGAAGCCTCGTTGAAATACGAGTGGGGAGCAATTGCAGCTGCCATCGAGAAAAGTATTTAAAATATCAGTCTGTTCTCGGATTGCCAAACAGCCAATGGGTTTATTATTGGGAATAAATTACCTCGACCACGTGTAATTTATGGCTCTGTGTCACGCAGATAATGTGCGAAATTATTTTCAATTTATTTGTGTGTTAATCGCACGAGCGAAAAATTAGTGCGCCTGTAATTGCAAAATGCTTAGGGATTAAGATATATTGTGGGTTTTTATGTTATGGTTGTTTTTTCCAGGATTTTCCAGATAAGCAAATAATAACAAAAATAAATACAACTTTTTTAAAGCTTTTTGGGTATTAATTGAATCAAATTCCCTGTCTAATGCTTTACACATGACTTGAATATCTTTTTGAAAAATCTATGTATATACTAAGGCAACATTTCCATCCCTTGACTAATCCCTTTTTTCTTGTGGCTTCTTTTAATTTTCTTGCAGGAAGCAGGACATTTAACGGCATACAAAACAACTTCGACAAGAACGAACGAGGCAAATGCATTACATTATAATTTCATTAAGGACGAAAGCCTTTCTCCGCCAGCAGTGAAACAACGTTGCGTGCCAAGAAAGAAAAGGGCGACAAAGTCGAGAAGGCGACGAGGAGAAAGCGGGCCAAGTCGGAAAGCCGCAAGAGGCGACAATAGCCCCAAAGCCCATTGCCTACTTCTGGGCGCTGTCAAGCGAAAATCAAGAGCCTGGCATTTTTATGAAATTAATACAAAAGACGTGGCGGCAAGGAGCAAAAGTGGAAGTGGCAGTGGAAGTGGAAGTGGCAGCCATGACAAAAGCCCCAGCCAGAGGAGGACAATGATGGGCGGACGGGGTGGCCTACGATTGAGAAAGAGATTATAATGGCAGAAGAGCTGATTTTTTTATGGACCGCCACCGCTCGAGTAGACGTGACAGCGTCCGATCGGCTAATAATAATATTTACTTGCGCGTAATTTGACATGCCAACGTGACCCAGCTGTGGCTGAAACTATTTTACAAGAAAATCATAAGAAAATTTGCCGCAAACTCTGGAATCTCTGAAAAATTAATAGCATAAACATGCCTGGCTACCACTACTTGACACTCCTGCTGGTGTCCACTTTAAGCCTAATCCAGGGCTGTCCGCCGGAGGTGTGTGTCTGCAAATGGAAGGGCGGCAAGCAGACCGTGGAGTGCGGTGGCCAGCAGCTTTCCAACCTGCCGGAGGGCATGGATCCGGGCACCCAGGTGCTTAACTTCAGCGGCAATGCCCTGCAGGTCCTGCAATCGGAGCGATTTCTCCGCATGGACCTGCTCAATCTGCAGAAGATCTACCTCTCCCGTAACCAGCTCATCCGCATCCACGAGAAGGCCTTCCGCGGCCTCACCAACCTCGTGGAGCTCGATCTCAGCGAGAATGCGTTGCAGAATGTACCGAGTGAAACGTTCCAGGACTACAGCTCTCTGATGCGCCTCTCCTTGAGCGGAAACCCCATTCGGGAGCTGAAAACCTCCGCCTTCCGGCACCTCTCCTTTCTGACCACCCTGGAGCTGTCCAACTGCCAGGTGGAGCGGATTGAGAACGAGGCCTTTGTGGGTATGGACAACCTGGAGTGGCTGCGGCTGGATGGCAATCGGATTGGCTTCATCCAGGGAAACCACATCCTGCCAAAGTCTCTGCACGGAATCAGCCTGCACAGCAATCGCTGGAACTGCGACTGCCGGCTGCTAGATGTCCACTCCTGGCTGGTTAACTACAACGTCCCGCTGGCGGAGGAGCCCAAGTGCATGGAGCCGGCCAGACTAAAGGGTCAGGTCATCAAGGGCCTGCAGCGGGATCAGCTAGCCTGCCTGCCGGAGGTGAGTCCCCAGTCCAGCTACACGGAGGTCAGCGAGGGCCGGAACATGTCGATCACCTGCCTGGTTAGGGCTATTCCAGAGCCCAAGGTCCTGTGGCTGTTCAACGGCCAGGTGATGAGCAACGACAGCCTGATGGACAACCTGCACATGTTCTACTACATCGACGAGAGCATCGGAGTCAGTGGCGCCGAGGAGAAAAGGAGCGAGATCTTCATCTACAATGTGGGTGCCGAGGACAACGGCACCTTCTCCTGTGTGGGCCAGAACATAGCAGGCACTACGTTCAGCAACTACACCCTGAGGGTGATCATCAAGGAGCCGCCAGTGGTGAACGAGGTGTCCTTTCCGCGGGATTACATGAACTATATAGTGGCCAGCAGTGCTGGCGGAGGCATCATCTTTGTAGTTCTTCTCTGCACCATTGTGGTGAAGTGCAAGCGCTCGGCAGAGCCAGCCAAGCAGCGGAAGAAATGCGACCAGGTCACGAGTATAGCCGGAGGAACAGACTCCTCAACGGGAAGCACCCAGGATACGGGCATGGGCATGATGAAGTGCGCCTCCATCTTGAACGATGGCGGTGACAGCCTGAACGGTAATGCTGGTCTCCTTCTGGGCGACACCCTCACACCCACCAAGGCGGTAAACGGCGCTGCCGGCGGTGGCATTATCCTGGGCAATCAGATGAAGCAGAACCTTCTGCTCTACGCCACTCCGAATCCTGGCCAGCAACAACAGCAGCAGCAGCTCCAATTAAATGTGAATCTTATGGGCTCTGGACCGGGATCACCACCCCTGATGCTGAGTAATGGCCATAGTCTGACTGCCGCCTACTGTTCGCCGCCTGCCTCGTTGAGGAACTACCAGGAGAAGAACCCGGACTTGGTGAACGATGCCGAGAGTGTGAAACACAAACTGAAAACTGCAGTGAGCCTGGACGGAGCGGCGGAGTACGAGACGCAGAGCGATTGTGGCCAATACGAAGGCTGCTATCAACTGGCGCCAGCTCCACTGGCCCTGCCCGGCCATCCGGGTCATCCAATGCATCCCGGACATCCTGGCCACCCGGGCCATCTCATGGGACGCTTCACCCAGGCCATGACCACATTGCCGCGCGGCATGCAACTGAAGCCGGCGCCGCATCAGGTCGATGTGCACCTGAACCCCGTCTGTTTCCTGGGCCAGGATGGAGCCTTTGCCTACGACTACAGCAGTGCTCATCTGGTGCAGCAGGCCTCGCAGCAACAGATGCAGCAATTGCCGCAGCAGCAACAACAGCAGGTGCAACCGCCGGCAAACTTTTACCGAACGCTGCCACACAATCGGCTTCACAAGCAACAACAATTCCAAGCGGCAGCAGCTGCCGGCCTGGAGGCGGAGTTCATTCAGAGGGGTCCGACGGTGAACTATGAAAAGTACCAGTTGCCCAATGTTCGCTTCACGGCGGAAGGATATCCGCAACAGGAGATGCAACTGCAACAGCAACTCCAACAGCAGCAACAGTTTCCATCGCCGCCCGAGGGCTACAAAAGCGATCTGGCGCCTTTTCAGCAATGGCCCAGCTGTTTGCCAGGATATCGCTTCGCCCAGTCACCCACCAGCCAGCCAGCACCAGGTGGTGCCATTGAGGGAGCACCCACCCTACCACCAGCAGCTACATCCACAGTACCATCCCAGGCATCTGGAGCCACATCAACCATACCGGAGCTGGATGAAAGTGAAGCCACCTCGCCGCGATTGGAGGAGGCGGCTGCCGCAGCGGCAGCTGGGGGCGAAGAAGGCGAAACAGATACTGGCAAGCTAAAGCAACTCAACGGTCCCCTGGCGGACAGTCCCGACGAGGGCTACGTGGGCGACGGTCAGGAGACGAGCGACATCTGACCCAAGGGGCTACAGCAGGCCAGGGATGCAGCTGCCTTAGACCCAGATTCAGTGGCTCTGTAAATAGCCAGTGCTGATCGCAGGAAAGCAAGAAAACCACTCATAGCCTCAGTTTACTGTACCCTTTTTTCGCAACACCCCCTCCCACAATCCACCCAGCAGTTCCTGCCCATCCCACCTTCACCATTTCTGTTTGTTGGTTTGTCCGCAAAAACAAGCAAACAATGCCAGACCCAAGTTTAACCTAATAATTGGCAGAGAGAGAAAGAGACAGGAGGAGAGTGGGTGAAAGAGAAGGCAATGTAAGAAGACCCAAAAAAAGTAGCCCAGAAAAGGAGGAAACTTTCTTTCCTCCAATCCGAGGGATAATACTGACTTCTTAGAATCTGACTGGAAATTTGAGATTATAAAGGGTCGCAGTTAGATGGAACTTTTTTCTTTTAAAATTTAATTTTCTAATTTTTATTATTTAACATTTTATATACCAACTTACTTTAAAAATTATCCTTTCTTAAATTATTTATTTTCTAGACTCGTAACATCACCCGAGAAAGTATATCCTTAGAGAGAGTATAAGCGCTCTCTAGCAATTTGTTATTTCCCATAACCAGTCTCGGCACTTTCTCCCAGTACTACTTTCCTTTCGAGGGTATGCGGTAGAAACAATAGGCATAGGAGGGACCTAACCTAATAAAGCCGAAAAACAAAGACGCCGCTAAACAAAAGCCTCTTGTCGTTGTTTGTTTCTGTTTGCTGCGTGCTTCGAGTGGCAAGCTGGCAGCATTTTATTTCCGCTGATGTAATTGAAAAACTTTTTCATTTAATATAAAGTTTTCAGCAGCTTCCCCGCAGCACAATGAAGGCAAGAAGGCCGGGCCAGAAAGCAGAAGAAAGCAGAAAGGCCAGAGGGAAAGCGAGAAAAGTGAGAGCCAAAGAAAGGCCGGGGCCTACGACTAGACATGTGTGAGTGTTGGGTTTCCGATTGAGCTGTTGGCTCTCAGCGGCGTTGTTAGTCTTCACAATCAAAGAGGGAGGCCTGGGACGGGCAGGACATGCCAGGCAGGCCTCTTAACCACTCGAGAGGGTTTCCGAGCCTTTCTGGCCTGCTCACTTCAGAGCCAAGTGGCATGTGTTTTCGCCTTGGCGACACCTGCTCACCGGAACACAAAGAACCTGCTACCGGCTCCTTCGGCCGAAAATCGCGAGTGGCAGTAGTGTGCTCTAGTTTATGAAATTTTAATTTGGGCCACATCCGCTCCAGTGTTACATTTAAATAATTTATAGCATTAACTTTTCGCACAACTTTCTCCGGGTCCTAAGCAAACATCCGACTTTCACCGCTTTCACCGCTCCTCTCACAGAAACTCCCAGAAAACCCCCCCAGTCACTGTCCTTCATTCGCCCAGCCTTAAGTTTGTTGTATCAAATTGAACAGACATGAACACAAGTGTTTCCGGGTAAAATTAAAGGTAGATATCGTAAATTAGAACGACTAGCTGTGTAAGAACTAACTAACTATAGGATAACCCCCATCACCCCCACAACCGTTTGAGACTTGTATGTAAATGTAGTTATCTAGAGAAATTGTTTAAGCGAAACCCAAGCTTTCAATTTTAACCTTAAATGTTCTGTAAAGTGTTCAAGACTTTTCCACTGTAACATAAATTCGAATATTGAAATATTTGACGGAAATTGTTGCAAAATGTTTGCAAAATATTTCGAGGATGTAAGTAACCACAAAACCAACAATTAGCAATAGCAAAGCTGCAACGAGAGAGGGCAGAAGCAATCATTTAAGCACAATATGGAATATTGTAAATTGCATAAATAAATCATTAGATTTAAGGACAAGGCAAACACTAACACACCCCGAAGAAAAAAATACCTTAAATGTAAAACACGATACACAGACACAAAAACACATACTCAGACTGTGTGCATAGGAAATGATTAAGTTTTATTTTCACCAAGTGAGTTAGTTGGCAACAATGCACCTAAAGGAATATACAACAGAAACTAAATTAACGATGCGAAAACTGCGATTAAAAACATAAACATTTTAGCCTATCAAAACTGTTTAAACCCGAACACGATACCACAGGAGAACACTCAAAATGAATCTTTAACAAAAGAATTTGCTGGCCGGCTGGGCCGAGAGAAGAAATAATTTTAAATATTATACAAGATACACGATAAAGGTAAAGAAACGGCCTAGCATTAAGTTAATTGTTAGGCAAAGCAGAACATGTATGCATACAGCAAATATTAAGGGCCATAAACGGTCGCGAAACATTAAACAAGATAACATAGACCCCAACAATGGCAAGGATCACAATCTAGACATAAATTAAATTTCTAAGTTAAATTAAAATTAAAACGCATTACGATAATAACAAGAGCAAAGTGTAAAAAGGATAAGAGAGAAATTAAACCGAATAAAACGCATTAAACTGAAGAATTTAATAAAAACTACATTATGCCAGTTCTTTTTTTTCCGTTTAGGTTCTATTTCAGCAAACAAAAGGGGGACACAAACAATTCTAGCGATTGAATATTAAACAGACAAAGATAGAGCATTATCCTTTCCATTTTTTATTCTGCATCGCCATCAGCAGGATAAAGCCGGGCCGGGATAAGGACGACTGGCATGGGAAATGCAAATGCGTTGCTAAGTAGGCAGAGAAAAAAATTCTAACTGAAGTTGATGGAATGTGCTGGAATATTAAAAGAAAATTAAATGGAGAGAAGAATAGTAAAAGGGTATAAAAATATAATAATGAGAAGTGTCGGCAAATAACGCTTAAGTTGATTAAAAGAATCTCAGATGTGTTAATTATAAATCTGAATGCAGGAGCGACAAAAATACTAAAGTAACTAACGTGCCAACCATAAACCCTAAGCCACAAATCAAAAATTCCCCACTTAGTTGCTAAATAATAATTATTCCAACCTAAAGACAAAATCTCAACCAGCAGCAGAGAGTTACAGAATATGTAATGACGGCTTTTGCATCATGTTGCAGCTCAAGGTTGTTTCGCTTGCCTTAAGACGCGCACATCACGCATACGCAGTGTAAGCCCAAAGTGGAGAAAGCATCAAATCGCTGGCAAGGTCGCACAGCTCCGCACACAGAGACACGTACCGAGAAGGAGGAGAAATCCGGAGACCCGGACTGAATCCCGGGCACTGACGCATTATACGTTTCAGTGCGCAATAATGTCATTAAAAGACGGAGAAAACGGAGAAAGTGCTGCTAGCTGTCAGCAAAGGAAAAGCACATCTGGGTCAGTTAATGCAGCCAGTTGTTACCTCGACCTGACATTTATGAGCAGCAAAGGCTGCCAAGCATCATCAGGAAGCAGGAGGAGTATCAGGAGCAGTGGCAATTAAGAAACGAATTTAAAAGAGCTTCTCTCCAGCATCCGCACCAGCAGAAGCAGCAGCAGCATCGGAAGCACCACATGAGTGTCGAAATTTATTGGAAATGCCTTAAGCCCACGCAGCCAAAAAGACGTCTAAAGCCCGCAAAAATATGGCCATCTCAGTGGGGGTAGAGAGATATCTTGAATTCCGGGTGTGGAGCTTCCCTTTCAAGCAGCCACATCGCTGACAGACTGAGGATGGTGGCTAAAACCAGAAACCAAGCAGAAATTGCGGCCTGAGAAGCAGCAACGCCATCAAAATCAAAGACAAGCATCAGGCTACAACCAAAAACCAAAGTCAGAGGCGCGCATAATTAATGTAGGCATAAAAACAAGTGACTTGTAAATATTGCCAAGGCAATGCACAAGTTGTGTGGATGAGGCACAAACACCAAAACACATGCAGGGCTATCTCGCCCCAATGTCGAGTATCTTTGGGATACGCGTCGGGTGTGGCTTTGTGTTTGCTGTGGCTACTTACAAAGTGGCAAGTGCGAGCAAAGGACTACCAGCCTGAGGTTGCCAGGCACCGTGACAACAATTTTACATCAAACAGTTCAGAATCTGTTAAGTTGGATTTTCACTTTCAAATACTTTTAGATATCTGATTACTGGTTGAATTTAGGGGAGATACTTTTCATTAATTTTAGGTGGGAGTATATTGTAAAAAGAAAAAAGTTAAAGAAAGTGTACCTGCGGTTTAAGTTAATTATTGTCACAATTTCTAGACAATTCGCCAATTAAATTCCGGGATAAGCAAGAATTTTAAACAATTTTTTTGTGCCTTTAGACCACTGTTCTTTGGCCAAGTTTAACTTTGGTAGAATGGCGCCCGAGTGGCCAAGTCGCAGAGCCACTTAAAAGCGCACACAACTCCCCGGCATGCGTGTGTGTGTTCTGGTTGTTTATGTGAGGGCAATAGCTAGTGTGTGTCTCCCTTGGCATCGCCTCATCCTCCACCGCCAAGGACTTGGACTGCGTTTATATGGTCTAGTGATTGTGACATTGTAGCTACAATTACAAGCGGAAGTGACGCACATCAACGCACAAATATGGAGGCGTCTATCTCCGCTTTATGTATGGCTAATGCGCCACTAAAGCTGCGCACAAATTGGGCTTATCGTATGGTTATTCCGATTCTATTTTATGCCCCAAGACCAAACTATACGTAAGATATACCCCCACTCTGCCTAGCCATCCTCCGTAAAACATTGTGTAAAAAATGTTGAGTCAAACCGATGCGGATGTTTGGCAGTAGATACATGTTGGTAAGTCGGCCTCTGACTAGTTTGTCTTATAAAGTTATTAACCAAAATTAATGTTTGTTATAAAATTTGCTCTGTGGTTCGGAAGTGCTTGTGCATAAAATAAACGATTCAAGGCAACTCGATCTGTATTCATTATTACACATACATATTAAGTACTTAAATACATTTTGTGTGGCTTACGGCCCCGAGAAAGGCAATCAGAGTCATGCATAAGTAAACTATGTATCGCAGGGTGCCAGGACTCAGGTGATTCATGGAGAGTTTTGTTGGTCATTAGGCTGAAAGTGATTTAGCGCTGAGTGGTCTTAATAGGCCGATTAAAAATTGATGACTGCAATGCATAAATTTAATATACTCGAATTAAAAGTTTTGACATAAGTTTCCCAGGGACACGTTTCCTGGAGCCACGAAAGTTTGCCAATTTCAAATCCCTGGCATCAGAAGTGCCATTGCCAACTTGGTTCATATATATGCCGGTCTGGTTACGGTTTGGGTCATAAAGAAAACAAATCCTGATTCCTGTATCCCGTATCCTGTATCCTGTATCCTGGTCTTTTGTCACATGTTCCTGGTAGACTCGAAAATTAAATATTCACATTTACGCATGCATGCACATTAATTTGCATAACTAATAATGTCGTTCCAACGAAAAATGTTTACAAAAAACTTTGAGTGTCCCGAAAACGAGAGTGGACTCTCGAAATATGTCAAACTGCAAAACTCAAATTACAAACAATGGACAGGGTCTGGAACGTGCCTGGCCAAGAA